CCCGGACCAGAGTTGTGTGTAAGGCGCCGTTCCGGGGGCAATCTGTGGGGTGCTGGAAACTGGAATTCCCAGCCCTGTGGAACGGGCAGGGATGGGAGGATGCCTTGCCGGGTGGGATTCGGGCTCCCAGTGGGTTTTCATGTCCCTGGGCACAAGGGTCTCATCCGGTGCCATCCGTCCTCTTCCCAGGCCAGGACTCCAAGCCACTTCCTGCCGGCACATCCGCCGGCACCGTCGGGAGCATCTGCCTGGCCCTGCTGCTCTTCCTCGTCCTCCTCGTTGTCTGCGGCCCCCCTGCCTGCAGGAGGCTCCGCAAGAGGAGTAGGTGACCCTCTGGATCCTCAGCCCACACCTGCCCTGCTGTTCCCAGGCTTGTCCCACCATCCCCAGGCCTGTCCCGTTGTCCCCAAGCCTGTGCCGTTGTCCACGCACCTGTCCCATTATTCCCAGGCTTCTCCCATTGTCCCCAGACCAGTCCCATTATCTCCAAGCCTGTCCCATTTTCCCCAAGCTTCTCCCACTGTTTCTAGACCCCTCCCATTATCCCCACATCTGTCCTATTATTCCCAGACCTCTCCCATTGTCCCCAAACCTGTCCCATTATTCTCAGGCCTGTCCCATTATTCCCAGATCTCTCCCATTGTCCCCAAGCCTGTCCCATTATTCCCATACCTGTCCCATTGTCCCCAAGCCTGTCCCATTATTCCCACACCTGTCCCATTGTCCCCAAGCCTGTCCCATTATTCCCACACCTGTCCCATTGTCCCCAAGCTTGCCCCACTGTTCTCAAGCCTGTCCCATTATTCTCAGGCCTGTCCCATTATTCCAGACCTGCCCCATTATTTCCAAACCTGTCCCATTGTCCCCAAGCCTGTCCCATTGTTCCCACACCTGTCCCATTATTCCCAGGCCTGTCCCATTGTTCCCACACCTGTCCCATTATTCCCAGGCCTGTTCCACTGTCACCAAGCCTGTCCCATTATTCCCAAACCTGTCTCATTGTCCCCACACCTGTCCCATTATCCCCAAGCCTGCCCCATTGTCCCCAAACCTGCCCCATTGTTCCCAAACCTGCCCCATTGTTCCCAAACCTGCCCCATTGTCCCCAAGCCTGCCCCATTATTCCCAAACCTGTCCCATTATTCCCAGGCCTGTCCCATTATTCCCA